GTCTAGAAAAGCAACGTGAACGATCATAGACTCAATAACATTCGAGCTCAGACGGCGAACGAGCTTGTGCACCATGCGAATGCGTCACAGAAACTTCGAGGCGACGCTGAGCCAAGCTTGATAAATCTTACCGTATTACGTGCTAGACGACGAATATATTCGAGCAAAGTCAATTCTCTCTGTTCAGGTGCACGTGTTAGACGTTATTATACTAAGCGTGAATATTCCGATAGGAAATCGGCTTTAAACGATATAACACCAGAAGTACAAATCCTCTCTGATATTTATCTACCGATTCCTTCAGCTACGTTCAACATCACTTCTTGCGAATATTTCTCGCGAAAAAAATTTAAAAAGCACGTTCCAATACTTATCGACACTTCCTCCAATCGTCTATCGTTAAAATAAGTTGAATAACTTTGATCGAAATAAAAGAAACAGCGATAGAACGTTGAGAAAACCATCCGCAGTAGTAAAGGTCGAAATTAGTCAGACATGCAATATAAATTAATTTTCCCTGACTTTTACCAGACCAATTTCTCTTCCATGCAATTCCAAGTACAAATAGCAGAATTTGTCAACGTTTCTTGCAATAAAATTCACCAAGTGGTTAGGTATAATCACAGAAAGGCACACGAACGTGTCGCGATATTTCCCAGCTTCTTCATGTTCCTTCGTGTTTCCCTTTTTTCCTCGTGCCACCATCTTCAGCCGCCCGTCATTCATCTTCGTTGCTGCGTTTCACGTTCCAACGAGAACCGTGCTATGCGTTATCCGACGGCGCATAAAGAAAACGGAACGCGGTGTACATCAGACCGCGAGGATTTATCGCTAATTACTTTTCTATGCTGACCTATTCGCCTCGTCCTCTTCCAGCTTCCGCTCCCGTCCGATTTATCGCCATTATTTTTCCCCGAAGCCGCCGCAACGAAATGTATGCGGACGTTCGAACAATCGCGATATGACGCGAAAATGAGATTTATCGTTCTGAATCGTTACACGCTGTGACATTTATGCCTGTAAAGAGCATGATAAAAAGCGTAAACGTCGCAACGTTCCCTCGTTGCTGTTACAAATCTTCGCTATCACTTCGCTATCGAAGCAATCTGATCGGTTTCGAACCTCTGTTATTCAGTTTGACAGTGAAAAGGTGCTACGTATATTTTTCGCAATAATCTATTCACAATTTT